AGGAAAAAAACCGTGGATATTTCCACAGTGAGGTGTCTTTGAAATTATCCTGAAGTATATAGGTATAAAAGGGGTATGAGGTGGTATGTACAAAGCAAAAGAACTCTGCTAGGAAGCCAGCTGTCTACACAGGCAACAGACAGCAGGAAAGATGAAGGCGAGTTCTTAACCAAGCTGATTTACTAGCAGAAAGAGCTCAGTATGCCAATTGCTATTGTCATTATAAACTTTGAAAAGCTCTGTTTATAGAAAGTGAATAGTAGGAAAGTGAAGCATAATGCTGAATTTTTTATTAAATATATAACTTTCAAGAGCTGTGATAATTATCATTTTATTTTCATTGCATCAGTTACAAACAATAAGACAGAAGGCACTGCTGTGCGCACACAGTACATGATTTCAAGTACATTTCCAAAGTTAGTGGTTGTTAGAATTACATACAACAGAAGCATCTTAATGCAGTTTTCACTTGTTGCTTCACATTTGGCTATTATGTCGTTGACAACCATTTGTTCTACTCAGTTTAGAAAGTAGATTTACCACTTGCCAAAAGCATATGTATTACAGAGTCTGATTTGTTTAAAAGCAAAGCCTATTTCTAGTTTCAGAGACAGAACTTCATTGTATTATTTTTCCATATACCTAATTCTCCTTTATTTCAGAGTAGTTAGGATACAAGAAGTTCACACTTCATATTCTTAATCTAGCTAACATCTGATAGAAGAGGTAAAAGATGTCATCTCACCTTCATCTGAACATCCCCCCTGGAAGGCATCTAAGGCCTGAAAAATATTTAAGGACTTCTAGAACATGATATTTCTGCATAAGCTAGTATTAAGTAAATTGCATTCCTATTCACTCATTTTTCTCTTTTGTTTTGGTCTTGCTGTTTCCCTTGGTGCAAATCCCTGGGAGTGATTAATTCATAACTGCACTCTGCTATGGATGGGTTTAGCAGTTAAAGTTCAACAAAGGAGCAGGAAGAGTGTAACAAGTCAGGCAGTGAAAAAGTCACCTAGCAAGAGTTCTTGTGCCTCTGTCACACCTATGAAGAGATCGCTGTATCAGTACTATTTGTGTTGCACACTTTTTGTGTGTTTTTGATAGAGTTACTAAACGTTGCTTGTTTAGTACAGCAGGGCTAGGATCGGAGCTGTTGTGTTGCTGCCTGCGGGTTCTTTGTGTATAGAATTATTACAAATGAGGGCTGCAGAAAAGGTACTCCCTGCCAATCCAATTGCAATAGTTGGGCTACATGGGAGAAAAGCCCAGAGCATCATTTGTCAAGTTGGTGCTGCCCCAGTGAACAGCAGAGATGGAGGAGGCGATGTGCACCCAACAAACATTTACAGGCTGTTCCACCAGGCTCTGAGAGCCCTGAGAGTTTCTTTCTTCTGAACGACGGACTTTGGCTCACGTGAGAAAAGCAAAGCCAATTGATTTAATAGCAATTAACTCATCCAATATTGGAGAGTCATATACTGTTTGGCGTAATTCGTTGGAAATTGCTCTGGCAGTACTTGCAGGCCATTAGAGGTTTCAAGGAGGAGATGGAAACAGATAGACATTGCTGCACAGACACAGTCAGGATGCACTGTGGAGTCTCTCAGAAATGCTGCTGCATGCCAGGAGGCAGCAGTCTGCTTCTATCTTCCTCGAGAGCCTTAATAAGAATGTTGCTGGGGGGGCAGGTCAGGTCTCTGTCTGCTGGATCAGTTATCTGCCTGCCAGATAATTGTATTTCCTATTGCACTTGGTGTAATGGGTTTCTGCCTAAATTTGTTCTTTTTGTTTTGTTTTGTTTTGATGTGGGTTACGGGAGTTAATCTCAACTTTGAGCCACATCACTCCGTCTTGGTTAAAAACAGAAGCAAGCCAGAAGGAAGCCTGTGGCAATACAGCCTGGGAAATACCACAAACTTATGGCCCCAGGAGGCCCCGCTGCTCCCCTGGCCTTCCCTAGAGATGCGTGCCCTGCCTAGCCACCTCCTTGTCAGCTTTTAGTCAGCGCCTGCCCCGGCACCACTCCATGCAGGGCAGTTATTTCCAAGCGAGCTGATCCAGCCCACACCACATTCACTTCAATGCTGGTGTCTGCTCTCCGAGGGGCCGTGGTGGTTTCCCCTTGTTACACAGGCTGGTGGCTACTTCAGTGCCCACAGATGGGGTGGGTGGCTTGGATTTATAGTTACAGTGCTTCGTTTTGAATTTAAGTATTTATTTAAACTGACGTCGTCTTTTCTGTGAAAGTCAGCCTGGCTTGCCTTTTGTTGCACTGCATCCTGATAGCATCAGCACGGATTTTAATATTGCACAATTGTCAAGGCAGCATAACTCCTTGGTGTGGTTATGCGGCCACCATCTGAGATAGCCATAAACCAATACATGCTGCTTATCTGAGAAGAAATCAGAATCAAGATATGTACTTAGCATAGTCTGCTACTTTCTTTTAAGTGGATCATTAATGAGATTCTTTTTGCAGAGTTTTCACCATTTCTGAATTAGAAAATGGAGAAGGGAGAAGAAAAAAAAAAAACTGAAAGAAAAACAATTTTCTTATCATTTTCTTTTGTAATTGGATGACTTGCTTCAGTGCCGTGTGACTTTATTTAATTAATGATCTCCAACTTTGCTGTGCTGTTTGCTAATGATAGTCCTCATGCTGGCCTTGTGTCTGTTGGTGTCTTTGCATAAGTGTGGGGGGAATATTTCCAGTGCGATGATCTTTCATTGATGCAGAAATGTAATCACATTACACATCTTTAGAGCAGTAGCTCCAGGCTGTTTGCAGCATGCTCTGCTGAGCTGTGTCTCCTCACCAGCTCTCTGGTCGGAATTGTTTGGATTTTTTGCCTGCTCAAAGGTGTTATGTCCAGATGGGCTGGCCTCTGCTCTTTGGGCTGATATGAACAATAACAGCAGCACACCAAGTCCGTTTGGATGATGTTACAAGTTGTATTTTGTTTCCTTTATTCTTAAATGTTCCCATTTAAGAAATGAAGTATTTAAATTGCTTCGCTAGAAAAAATGAGAACACAGTTTTACAGCTTTAAGGCTCCTATAGCACTATTTCTAAAATATTTCTGGGAAAATAAACATTCAAATATAATTGTTTGTCCATCTCAGATGCTCCCTATCATCAGCTCTACCAGATCCAGCTATAGTAACTCACACTAAAAATCTCTGGAAGCCAAAATCTTGTAACTTGTTACATTGGAGAAAGTAATTCCTCTGCTAAGAGCAAGTACAACATTTGTTCCTAACAGCAGTTTCTCCTGTTGCTGAAAACAGTGGAATTTTCTGGTGGTTCAATTGGAATTATTGCCAAGCACATGTACTAAGTCAGTAAATCTGTGTGCTTGGAAAAGCATTTTACCTGGAGCTTAAATCTTGAGCAAACAGCTGACAATAACTCTAGTAATAACATTTTAAAGGGTATGCACTGAAAAACTAGGGGATGTGCACCACTGGTGTTAAAAAACACATAACCTGGATGTAGTTCGTATTTATAATAAAATGTATATTGGATACTGAGTGCTTGTAGCATTTTAATCTACTCAACAGCATGTTGGACAAAATATGATTCTACAGAGCATTGATCATTGAAACTATTTGCCATAATCTTTCTGCAGCAACGTAGTATCTCCCTAAGAGTCACTGCATAGAATCTGGATGAATGTGTAGCTCTTGAGAAATGACTTCCAGATTACTAATTAGTGAGTTCTGTAGATTAGAGGCGTACCTGGGTATGAGATATATTGCATGACTGCAAAGAACTGCCTCAGCACTACTGCTGACTACTGCACAGTCTTCAGTGATTACAGATTCTTTTTTCCTCTTTTACCGAGTTTTTGAGGTAGGCAGGGTGATGCCATGCATTCAGTTCCAACAAGCCTCCTCCAGAGTCTGCATCCTTGGGATGCCAAGGCCCCCATCACAGTGCCACAGTGGTGGCTGTGCTGTTTGCTCCTCCACGTGGAGCCCTCAGGTACACAGGAGATGGTAGATGTGGTCTCCAGGACTGCAGATTTGGGGAATTATTGGGAAAATTTCAAGAACCTGATCCAAATTCCTTATGTTTGAGAGTCTGTTTTTTTTCTCTTAACGTACTTTTTCATTGTTTTCAGTGGACTGTGTATAAGATTTATACTGCCTGTTCTGTTAGATGATATGTTGGTCCAATGACTGACAAGACTGCAGATATTTCTTTTCTTTTTTTAAGCCATTGGCTGAGGCATTCACATAAATCATGGATTCTATTGAAACTACAATTAAAACAAATCAGGCTTAATGCATACTGAAAGCCTTAGTAATTACGATACAGGTGAATGTGGAGGAAGTGGCACCAGCTTAGTCATCCTTCCAAGCAAAACTGAAGGAAAGAACTGTGTGTATAATCGAACAGCATCTGAATATTAATGCACAAAATCCTCTGAGTCCCTCATTCCCTGATGCAATTATTTTCTATTCACATTAATTGTTCCTAACAGATGACATTAATGACTTTGAGTTAAAATGTGTGCAAGGGAGGCCTTCAGCAGATCAATGCTGTTTAAAAATAGGGTCACTTTTGCAATCATTCACTCACGGTGTAGCAGCTTGTAAATAAAACAACATTAACATGTTGATTGATTTATAAATGTTAATTTCGTAGTTCATTTTTATGTTTTTTTCCTGAAACTTGTCAAACTCTATGGATAGTGGTGGGACTCCTGTTCATTTGTCATCATTGCATATTAAGTAGTAGTAAATTACAAAGCAGAGATTAGGAGAAAAAGTACAGTTTGTTTTAGATGAAGAACGACCTGTTCTTCACACAGGAAGTCCTGGACAAAACAAGCACAAACAGCAGCATTTTGAATTAGAACAAATCTTCTTTTACCTCGGGGTCTTTATTTCCCTTGAAATTTAACCGCAGACTTTGGAATTTTAAAAATGCTGATCTGCTGCATAATTGACGTATGCTTACGCTTTGCTTATTCTCTTCTACCCCCCTGCAGAAACTCCATTCGCGCATCTTAGACCTCTCATCTGGAGATCTGCTGTCAGAAGTAGAACGAAACAGAAGCTCGGTGCAGTTGCAACCTGCTGATGCTCAGATTCACGTGAGTCTCTGTGCTGTCCTTGTATCCCACATTTGGACCCCTCCTTTTCTCCTTAGAAGTCTGATGTCAGGGATGAAGCATAAAGCTGATCTCTGAATTGAAACACTGTTGAGGCAGATAACAATACTTCTTCTTCCTTCTGTTCTCAGAAATTCAATATTGTATCCTCAGTTGATACAGTAAGCAGATAGTGTCACTCTGTGCAAAAAAGCATAAATCTTAGTAATGTCCCCAAGATACCTTTCTGGGTATTGATTACATCTCAGGATCTGTGAGAAATGGTCAAGGAGCTTTTTATTAAAGCCCATACACCATATTATTCATCCACTTTTATGATATATTATGTATGAACTTTTAAAAATTCATGGGCTCTGCATTTTTTTTTTTCTGATGGGTTTAGCTTTGTGCTTATTTGGCAAAATGTTAGCCAGTGTGGCTTTCATGTTTCATTGTCAAAGAGAAAAGTAGCTTAGAAAACAAAAGCGCAAGAAAATAGAGAGGAATAAAGAGAACAAGAACAGAACATTGAACCTGTGCGTGCCTTTGATCTTGAAGTGTAGTAATGTCAACAAAAATGTGATCTCCTTTGTAGTACGTATTGTAATGAAAAGGCATTGTTTCAAAGGTTCACAAAAATGCTAACAACCCTTTGCATAACATGTAATTAAGCCTTCAGGTTAGGATTTTCTAAATAAGTAGTTTTGTCTCTTTTGTAGTCTTTCAGTTCTCTGTGATGCCTGACAAAAAATTATGTATTTAAATTGTAATATTATATTTAGGACTTTCTACTCTAATTTTGTTAAAGGTAATGATTTTAAAGTCATAATTTAAAAAATTAAAATTTCACCATGTCATTTAACAAACCCATGTTCAAGTTAAATGTATTTAATTAATGCATCATAAACATACAATTTAAAGTACTTTCTGAGAGAGCTTAGAGAATACAGGCAAATTGCCAGATAAAATTTCAGTCCTTTTATGGTAGTCTCAAGGTAATCCAGAAGTGAGCTGGATATCCTACTTCAGGATTTCTAACACTGTGATGTTTTTGCACATTTTCTCATCTCTCTAACAATAAAGATGATTTCAGTGATAAACTCTCCTTTTGCTTTGCTTAGATATCTGTTTTTCACGCTGTTAAAACTACAGGAGCAAATACCTTTCTCATCTTTTGGTTCAAGGGAAACAAAGTAAAGAGCTGGCCAGGCCTGCAGACTAGCTGAAGGTAATAGGAAGGGAAGGCAAACTCTTCAGTATGCTGAGGTCTCCGTCTTTCTCTCACAGAGTATTCTTATAGGGAAGGATTTTACAGACATCCTTCTCTTCAGTTGACTGGGATGTGGCATACTTTAGGGCAGTATTTGATGTGGTGGGTTTTTCCATTACCATGTCTGAAACAGCTAGGACAAGCATGTTGCCATTGGCCTCTATAGAGTCAGATCTACTGGGCGCGACACCATCATAGATAGATGTGGCAGCTGATGAGGGGTCTCCCATGGGAATCACAATGGCAGAAATAATTTGTCTCCACAAAGCAAGAAAATCTGTTTCAAAGCTAAAAAAAACAAAGGCATCATCTTGCCTCTGATCCTGAAGCATGTGCTCCTCCCAGAGCCAACAGATTTAAAGGCTGTTCCTCCAGCATCCATTTGACTTCCTAGGAGGACATGTACCAATAACTCCCAGAGGTGAAATGTGCTCTTGCTACCTCTAAATGATTTTCCCATTCATAGGTTTTGCCTGTGACAGAGAGTAATGACTTGCCCTGTAGTTATGTTTGTCAAAACCAGAACATTATTATGTCAGCTGAGCAATGAATAGCTGTACTGATGAACTCCTTAGCAGTAAAAATTCTGCTCTCACCCATTTAACTCCAAAAAGGTTCAACCCTAGTAATAATAAATGGAAGGTTGTGGAGGAATAAATGGAAGAAATTAGGAAAAGTACAACAAAAATGTTAGTGCATGAGAAGTGCCTACAAACTATACATTTTTCCAGAGATCTGCATGAAGCAGCTGTGTATTGCACATACAGTTTTAGCACATTTTTTGTGGACTTCACATTTTCTAAATGTGAAGGTAAATTTTTAACCTCAGCAAAATGGATGGGGTCTATGACCCGATGCAAAAATCAGTAAATATTCTTTGAAGTTGCACAACCATGTTCTGTCTTAATGAAATTCAATGCAAAGTTTTATAAAAAGTAGAGTTGTGCCATTCTGTTTTTTGCTACTGGTAATTAAAAAGGTGTCTGATTTGGTAAGGAAACTGGAGAATTGCCTAACAGAATGGTGCAGGCACTTAACATTAAAGAAGATCTAACATTGTTAGGCACAAGAGTATTAGTTTGAAAACAAATTAAAGGCATCCTAGATACTCCTACAGAGGTTTAATATTTTACCTAAAGTGCTATCTGCTCTTCATTACTCTCTTCCTCAAAGCTGGCACTTAGTCACAGTCAGCTGAAATTGCATTTGGAGCGGGGCGATAACTACACAAGTACTAAAGGCAGCCATAAAGTGTCAATAAATTGCATAAGCAAGAGGCTTCAGCTGTCTGCAAGTGACACAAAGATGGATTGTCCTACGTCAGAGAGTTTCTTAGACAAAGCTTTGAACTAGATAGGAAACCAAAATTAGACTGTAATGGAGAGATTCCATTCTCAGTGGGCATTCTGGTTGGGATACTAAATTAATTTACCTTGTCCAGCGTATACAGCCTCATCTGTTACATTCTAGGGCTATAATGCAGTTGTCAAGATGTACTTGTATTCTTATAACTTTGTTTTCTGTATCTAACTGGAGCATGCTGCTTATATACAAAGCATAATTCAAGCAGACTCAATAGTCTTTAGCAAAGGAGGAGCAGAATACTGGCTCAAGAATAAAAAAGAAAACATGGAGGATCATGGCTTTTCCCCCTGACAAATGAAAATACTGGCAATTTTTAATTTAGTTCTCTGCATTAAATTCACCAGACTCTAATGGCCTAATAGGAATGTGTAAGTAGCTTACTTGGCTTGTCTTTGTCCTTCTTAATCAGGCAGAAGTTAAATGATCTTTTTCCAGCCATAAGATATTTCTGTTTCTTCTCATGTTTTAGGAATGCCAACAGAATGTGAAATCCACTGTACCTGCCTTGAAATGCCACAGTCAATTATATGTGACAGGTCCTAGCCGCCTGTATCCCCGGAGCAGCTGCAGTAGCAGTGAACTCTCCCTTTCAAGTGCTTGCAGTGAATATTCCAGTGGTTCCTCCTACACTTGGAATGATGGGAAGACATGCAGCAAAAGGGTAAATCAAATTAACTTGCTTCATTTATTAGCTTATGATGACTTTCAGAAATATTTTTTTCTTTTCTTTTCTCTTTCACATTTAAAACACTTGTCAAAAAACTCAGTAGGAGTTCTCTCCCTTCTATCTCCCTTCCTCTCTCTCTCTTCCCTTTTAACTCTTTTTAACAATTCCCTTATCACTCCAATTCGCTCACAGTCTCATCATTTATTCTGACATTTATTCTGTTTTTCACAATCCAAATTGTTCTTCTCCTTCTTTATCTTAATCCTTTCATTCACATTTTTCTTCCTAAAGGTTTTAATTCCACTGTGGCCTTCACACCAGTATGAAGTCCTATATTAAAAAAGAAGATTGCTGTTAATAGCAATGAATAAAATAGAATGTACTATGTGCTCCTAAATTTCTTTAATAAAATTGTAACATTTCTTATTAATAGCAATTGTGAATAATATGTGAGTTTTATTTTGTTTTGACAGTCATCCGTGAGCTGGGATAAAAGAATAAGCATTGGTTCTTCACTCCCAAGCAACCTCTCTAGTCCTGCAGATGATCTGCCTCCAACTCGTATCAAGGAAAACCATATCCTAGAAGGGCTGAAGAAATTACAGAGGCAAAAAGTATTACTTGAATCACCTTCAGTAATATCGAAATGGGGTTACAAAGATTGCATGAACTCCAATGAAGGAATATATTCCCCTGGAGTTAAATGTGGCAGCCATCATGAGCAGACTCACTGTAAGCCAATGGAAATAGGAAGGATTTGCACTGAACATAACAAAACTTTCTCTTATGATTCAGATTCACATGATGATGTGGATGATGATTCTTCATCTTTATTATTGCTGCAGGAAGTACCAAGCAAAGACTGCAGGATCTATTGTAACAAATTAACCCACAGTGTTTCTGACAGTCTCTTTCACTGGGATCCTAATAAGAAACATTTGCCAGAAAGAAGTTCATATTTTAATTCAAAGGAAAGACCAGAAAAATTGACTAGTTTTGTCAGTGGATTTCAGGCAGAAGTAGAATCATGCACCAGAGCAAAGCTGCCTGATTTACAGTTAGATCAAAGCCTTGCTAATATAGGCTGGAAGGATCTTAATTTTCAGCTTTCAGATACTGATGACAATGAAGTCTTGGATGAATTGCATATAGAAAGCAGTGATGAGAAAAGTCCATCAGATTTATTATCAACTCCTTTTACAGAGAAGTACACAAAGAACTCTGATGAGCTCATTGTCACGGAGAATTCTCAGTTTATATCTGGTGACAAAGAGGAAAGACAGACATCTGCTCACTCAGACATTAGGCCAAAGGCATGTAATTTCATTAAACAACAAAAAGTTATAAAAAAGACTTCTTCTGAGGAGTGCATTACAGTAATATTTGATGCTGAGGATGGTGAGCCTATTGAATTCAGCTCACATCAAACTGGAGTTGTCACTGTAACAAGAAATGAGATATCAATCAACCAACCAGAAAGTAGGTCCAGTGCAGAATATACTGAATTTATACCTCAGGGAATAGCTAATTTGCAGACAAGAGCAAATGCTAGAGACTACACTGTTTTGGAAGGACCTGAAGACAAAACTAAGAAACAGCCTCTTGAAGATAATACAGGGAATAAAAATACGGTTGTCGCCACGACCTGCAGTGAATCTTCACCCTGTGGAAGAGTAATGCTGCAAAATGCCCCACGACAAAAACTAGTGAAGCCCCTGTATGATGTATCATACAAGACCAATTCAAGCCCCATTGTTCATGCAGGAATCAATCAAAAGCCAATCTTGACTAAAATACCCAGCAGAGGTAAATTTTCTCCACAAAAAACCAAGATGACGGAGAGTGAGGAGGCACCTGCAGCTACATCAGTGACCCCTGCAACCCTTGAAAAATCACCTGCTCTGCCACCTGTAAAGCTTTCAAGACTCAAAAAGGCACAAAGTCCACCTCGTAATTTTGACTCAAAAGTCGACTTCCAGATTCCAAAGCCCCCTGCCCACCCCCTGCCCAGCTCAAAGCGTCCGGGCAGAGGCAATGGGACAAAGTATCCAAAGAGTCAGAGTCCAGCATCACCACTGTTGCCTCAGCACCTTATAGAGCCTACTGACTATGGAGAACCTCCAACTAGAGACTCTAATCATGATTTAGCAACTGGAGAAGCCAGGTCACCATCCCCACCCCTTCCTCCAGGCAGGTCAACATCCCTATTGATTCGGCCTGATTATGCTCATTCACCACCTGTGGCTGTGAAGTTAGGAGGAGCTGTTCCTGGTGAAACAGCAAAAAATATACTGAAATCATCACCATTAAAAGGAACTGCAAACTCTGGCATCCATAATCAATCTAGTCATGATATGCAAGCAAAAAGTGTATCTTCTGGGGCCAAAATTGAGTTATCTTACCTTCAAGAAAATTCTGAAGCAATTATGCAAAATAAATGTATATCTCAGCAATCCCATAGTGCATGCCAAGGACTTTCCAAAGTTTTCACAAAGCAAGTCTGCCTAAAAAACACTAATCAGATAGGTCTCCACAGGAACCGTGAGTTTCTGAGCACAGATTCTCAGACAGGCAGGTCCATTCCTCTGGGTCCGTCACTGGAAACAACTTCACAAGAAGCACATTCCAGCAAGAAGGATATTTCCAGTGACAGTGGGGTTGATCAGCCACAAAAGATGCCAAACATTCTCCCTGCAACTCCTCAATGTCATACAACAAGTGCGAGTGAGCCCTTGCTATCTCAGGTAAACAATTCTCCATTGTCAACACTGTTTCATGGTAGTGACACTGCAAATGCCACACAAAACTCTAATGAGAAAGGAGTGAAAACCCGTCTTCCTGTAGGACTGAAATTATTTGTCAAATCTCCTCAGCTTCTCCGAAAGAGCTCCACTGTCCCAGGGAAGCAGGAAAAAGATAGTATAAATGCAGCTTCCAAAAGCCACGTGAGTACAAGTAAGTACAAGCAAAATGAATGTGCGTCCACCAAAGGTGCAATGGATGCTGAATTAAAAGACTCTAAGTCTGATAACGAAGTAAAAGATAATTTTACTGTGAGACTTAGTATGGATACGGCATCACCTCATTCACATGAAAATGGCAGCTTGGTGGTAGACAGAGTAGATGAATTAGAAAGAAAATTAGTTAAGAGATCTTTTTCTTCTAGCAACAAGTCACACTTGAAACCAGCTCTGGGCATGAATGGAGCTAAAGCTCGAAGTCAGAGTTTCAGCATTCATACAGGAGAAAAGACATCTGCCCTTGTGACAGAAGGTCTTGGAAAAGTACGGACTCAGATTATTACAAACACTTCTGACAGAGGAAATTCTCTAACAAGGCAGAACTCAGCCATGGAAGGACTTCAAATCAAGGTCATTCCTGGGTCAGCAGCAACACAAGAGACTCTTTCAAATACTTCAAAAAACACAGAAAATTCTTACTCTAGACAAGGTTCTCTTGGAAGTAATAACAATAACCAGCATGGAAGCCCAAGCAAACTGCCATTCAGATCATCTCCAAAAGTAGACTCGTTTCGAAACACTTCAAAATATGATGGGAACAAATCATTTTCTGTGAAAGATGCACGCAGTCTATCTGTCCAGAGTGAGAAAGACAGTGAAAATTTAAAACATGAAGCTCTAAATAAAAAAAGTGTTTTGCCAGCAGAATTGGAGTTAGAAGCATCAGCTACTGTATCTTCCAAACAGATTTCATCATTTCATAGCTTGGGTGGAATAAAATGTCCGCATAAACTGGAAGCAATAAAATCACAGAGACAGCAGATGTCTTTAAAGTTAGCAGAAGCCTCTCATGTTACTGATGTTTTTAGTTCACCTGCTCTACAACCTACGATAGAGGAGAAGGTCATGTTGTGCATCCAAGAGAATGTCCAGAAGGGTCAGGAACAAAACAAATCTCCCACTGTAGAGACTAAACAAAAGACTGGGCCCTCTATAGCTAGTTGGTTTGGCTTTCGAAAGAGTAAGCTGCCAGCACTGAGCAGCAGGAAACCTGACATTCCTAAAACAAAGGTAGAAAAAAAAGAACCAAGAGTTTCAGGATTTGGAATTAAACAGTCAAAATTAGAGAGAAGAAAAGAAAAAAAGCAAACTGAACAACACTGTGAAGTGGAAAATGAAATTAACAGGAAAACGGACAGCAGTGACTTTTTAGATGATGCTCTGGAGTTTAAAATTTTGAAGCCATCACGAAACACATCTGGCAAGATTGGATGTGAACAAATCAGAGGTTCCACCTCAGCTACATACTCACCAAAAGACAGTTTTATGAAAGAACTTTTGAGCAGGTATGGGATGTTTTGTTGTGCACTTTAAGTTTTATAGCATCCTCAGACTCTAAGTTGAACGTATGTTGTCTTTAGACAGAGAATACGTTGGAACACCGCTTTGTAAACTATCAGGACTTAAAGGTGATGATAATTATGTTCATGTTACTTTGTTAACCAAACCAAAGGTCTTTGATTTTATAAAATGGCAAGTTACAGGTCGTTCCAGAAATCAAGAATGTAGGCAGGTGATATGTGAAAATAGAGGATACTTAGGTGCATATTTTAATGTCTTCCATTATTGCAACCACCAAACATAAATTTGGGAACTAATCAGGATTAGTTACATTTCTGCCTACCATAACCTTTGGTCACAGGAAAACTTAGCAATTGCTATACTGTGTTTTCACATTTGCCCCCCAGCAGTCCTAAATATAAAATAAATCATTATATGTGCAAGACTAAATTGATATACTACCTGAAATTGCAAGTGACAGATTTGATCAAGGCTAGTTAGAAACATTTATCACTCAAAGGTCTAGAGACAGAAAGATACAGAGAGGTTACTTTAAACATTAAAGAAATGGAAAAGTGGAGTGATTGAAGAAGGGCAATGTAATTTATCAGAGGAATCACTCTCTACCTGCAGAGTTGATAAGAAAGCAGCTCAGCAGACAGAAAGTGGATCAAATAATGTTTCCTACAGGAGTGTGTCGAAGGGCAGCTCCCAGGGCTCCTCTCTTCACAGCAACTCTATCAGCTCTCAAGGAAACCACAAGAAAAACAGCAACACGAAAGCTGATATGGAAATGCAGAATCAGACCCTGGTAAGTGCTTTAGTCCATGAAAACATTATTACCGTCTTTTTAACTTCTGGATGCGCTCCTCCTTATTGCCAGTACAGATAAACAGGATAATAACTGTTTATATATGATTCTATGTAGCTAGAGAATTGTGAATTAATACAAAAGTTGGCAGCTTGAGTACAGGCCAGATTACAGAGCTAGTTGTGAAGACCCTACTGCTTCTTCTGGCAATTCAATTTCAGCAGAGATATATGCGCAGCAATGTTATAATCATATCGTGGTACAGTAAAATAATAGGACCATTTTCCATTTTTCCCCTTTTCTCTGAAAATTGCATGCCTGCCAGTGTTGAATGTTACTCTGAGTGTTACAGGAAGCATTAAGCCTAACAAGTGCAATGCTCGTAGGGAAAAGGTGAAGTATTTGTCCACATTTGGGAATATTTGTCACTTAAGAGGGAATCTTCCAAAAGCAAAAGCTTGTATTTGATCCATGGCTCTGTTCTACAGCGTATCTCCCTGTTTATGCCTCATAGCTAGATTTATGTTCCAGTGACGTACTAACTACACCTGATTATTTAATTTACCCAGCAAGCAGGAATGGTGCAATTTAGAAGAAAAATCATTTTATTTTCTGTTAGCTGCTTAATGCTGGCGCTTGAAAGGTTATGTGTGTGTCTGACTTTTCTGTACCTTGAAAAGTGTGTATACACAGTCTAGGATTGTAGCCTGAAGTCAAACTGAGTGGGTGTCCTTCCTTGAGAAGCTTTTAGTAATAAACCATGGAATTCAGTGAGCAATCTCTTGCCTAGCAAGTGCCTTTCCAACAGTGCTTTAAAGTTCAAGCACGAGGAGTACAGAGATGCTTTAACTTTATCTTATGTGATTTAACATCTTGGGCATTCCTGCTAGCTGACCATATTACTGTGACAATTCTTAGCAATAATCACTACTTTCACAAAACAGTCTGAAAACTTATGCCAAATATATATCCTGAACATGAATCTGAGGCTATTATTTTTGTTGTGATAAAGCCGAATTGTGGGAATGCAACACATGCAACTATTTCACTTGGGAGAGTTTGGAATAAAAATTCTTTGGGAAGTGGTTCAAGGATAAAAGAAATTCCAAAGGGCTTCATAACAGGAAATGGAACAACTCTGCTGTTGTTTAGGATGCTCAAGTTTAAAGTATCAGCTTCAGGCAAGTGTTTTTTTATTTAATGCAAATGTCTTCCTTAAGAGTGTCCACAAGGTCATTTTGTACAACTTATGGGGAACACGCACAGAATGAATGTTTTGGAAAAGTTTTCCTTCCTGACTATTGTGGTATCATCTCTTCTTTGAAAATGTAGATGTCTCCTGCATTATAAAACCACAAATTATAAGCATATCTAAGGCTGTCCTTGTAGTGTCACTGAAAGGAAAGAGAGAGAATGAAAGTGTGGAAATGTGCAATATGCAGGAAATTCAATCCAACTGATCTAGAACTTTGATAGCAAAGCAGAGCCCCTTATCAGAGCCACTCAGTTTAACTATGCCCCATTTAATATGGTCCTGACAGCTTAGGGTATATCTTCAATGTACAGAAGTATGAAAAGCTCTGTACATTGCTTCTACAATTCCGTTCTTATTATTTTCTAATGCTGCAATAATTTGCTGTGCTTTTTGTCTGTCAATTTGTGAAATCTTTCTAAATGCAGCAATAATAGTCCTAAGTGAAACACTTCATTTTATTAGGGAACTACAAAGATCGTTCTTAATGTACATAAATAATAAAGAAATCCTCATTATTCTGTTTAGCCTTAAAAGACATAGTATCACATGGAAAAGGCATTACCTATGCCATACCATTCACTCTTTTGTTCGTTGAGCATGAAAGTATTTTTCATATTGTTTTTTGAGGTTGAGTTACATTATGTACTTCATCTTTGTGAGTTTCATGTTTTGGGTTTGTGTCATTCAATTCCTGAAAGAAATATCTCATGCTAAAAGGCTGAAAACATCTAGAATAAAGAGAATAAAAAGATGCTTACTGTTCTTACTGCTAACTTAGGGAAGAGATGCACGCTAAGACTCCACAGTATGTGAGATTTCATCTCGCCCTCCAAGCTCATGCCAGGAAAACAATAGAGAGTCGGTAAATTCAAAGTGCACACATCTTATTACGATCATTTTCAGTTATTCTTTGGTGTCTGCTACCTTTGAAGCAGATTGCAGAGGACTGGGAGATAGCTGTGACTGAAAACTGTCGCATGTGGCAGAATGGCCTATTGTGCATTTTGTTGCTTGTAAAAACACAAAATGAATGCTTTTGGAGAAAACAACGTGAATCTTTTGAAAAGCCCTAAACTAGGAGGACATGTTTTTCTTCTTTGAACAAAGCAAAGTGCATTCAGTGCAGAAACTGCGTATCACGTATATACTTCTTTAAATCTTGGCCATAACATTTTTAACATTAATTTTATAGAGTAGTTTTTTTTTCCTTTAAGGCCCATTTTATTTTGACAATTAAATTTCTTCTCTTATGATGCACTAGGTAAAGCCTTGGGGCACTATTATGCCATAACATATGCACCAGTTACCTCTGATTTCTGTTCATACAAGGAACAATATTGCTTGACTGCCACTGAATTTATGGAAAAAGCGATATTCCACCAATGGCAGTCGTGTGCATTCACCTTCAAAGGGGTATGCTTCCCGTTGGTGTTCATCAAAAAAGCTCTTTACTCTAAAGAAGCCAGCAGAAATACATAATCCTTTAGCTCACACCAAGGATATTCCACGTTCTTCGATATTTTTCCATGTCCTTGGCTGAAGCTTAAGGTGAGATACAATCATTTTTGTGCTGCACTGCTTCATTTCATCTTTGTGATTTTATTACAGTCCAGTGTAATTTAGAAAAGCCCCGGGCTTTGCTTTGTGAAGTGGAAGTGTGGCACCAAAATCAAGACACCAGTTTTGGATAGCAGGGCCTGTCTGTAATTCCGTGTGTTTGGGGAACATCCAGAAATCTATCTAATATTCTGAAATGTCACATCAGTAGCAAGCAACAGGCTGCCATACAGTCTGCACATGTGAGAAATTGTTTTATCCATAATTTGATGTCAGATGAGTACATACTCTCCTCTTCATTTTCCATAGCCCAAAGAGCCTCATTTCAGAAGAAATCCAATATCTGGGATTAAGAGATTATAAATGCACTTTTATAAATAGAGAATTTTCCATGTCTTACTGAGGCTAGTCACCAGGGGTCAATAGGGCTACTTCTGTAAGCCAGACAAGTATGGACAACGATCAAAGATACGCCATGCAAATTATGATAAATTCTACTGTTTTCAATTACAGTATGTATTTAATGTTACAAGGAATTTGCTGTAAGCGGAGTCAAATTGCAGATAGTGATTAGCAAACAACTTAAAATTTCTGAGATCTTGGCAGTATTTTTTTTTTTTTCCTGCAGTCCTGGCTTCTCTCTTTTCTGCAGCCTGCAGGTATCTTTATTGCTGTTTGATTTATAGACTACAGCAGAAAAATATGTCCCTGGATCTGAATTATGGCCACTGATGGAGTGTAATAGAGGGGGGTTTCACTCTGTTGTATGAAGATACCTTATATATATATATATATTTCTAAATAGAAGTGCAGAGGAACAGAACAATGTAGGGGGTTTGAATATAGTAGAATCTTTTGAATTGGAAGGGACCTTTAAAGGTCATCTGGCGCAATTCTCCTGCAAGCTACAGCTCAGTCAGGTTGCTCAGAACCTGGTCCAGCCTGACCTCGAATGCCTCCAAGGACAGGGCTTCCACCATCTCTCTGGGCAACCTGTGCCAGTGCCTCACCAGCCTTATAGCAAAAAAACTTCTTCCTTTTGTCCAGTCTAAATATCCTTCCCTCTTAGTCGGAAAGCATTTTCCCTTGTCCTGCTGAAGCATTTGTCCCCTTCTTACAGCCCCCTCCTTTAGATATTGAAAGGCCACTATCAAGTCTCCCCAGAGCCTTCTCTTCTCCTGTCTCAAGAGCCCCAACTCTCTCAGCCTGTCCTTGTAGGGATGGTATTCCATCCACTGGATATTTTGTGCATGTCTCTTCTGGATGCACTTTAACAGGTCCACATCTCCTGTGTTGAGAACGCCACAACTGGACATAATATTCCAGGTGAGGTCTCACAGCACGGAGTAGAGGGGCAGGATCACTTCCCTCCCCCGATCACATACTTTAAGATTTGAAGAGTTTGACATAAGAGCTCGTAGTGTCCGCTGCATTCTTAAATTCAAGTTATTTCTCTGTTTTGCGATTAAAATGGTTTTAAACAGATGCGGAAACAGAAATGCCAAAGTTAAATGATTGGAAACTGAATTAGAGAGATTTTACATCACGTAAGTTTGCTTTTTTTTTTTTTAAAGCATAGAATCTGAAACATGGTATTTCTGTAGAAGAACAAGTACAAGATTGGCAGTCTTGAGTGTAATTCTTTATCAAGGGGGAAAAAGAAAAGAAAAAGAATTTTCTTTTAGAAGAATTTCATTCTCCCAGGGTGCTTTCTGGCTGCTGCATGTTGTGACTTTTAATGGAGTTAAAGTTGTCATTTTCTGATATTGTTAATAGAATGGGACAGAGTGTATACTGAAGTATATTAGTTACCCTAATCTATACTTTGGTTTATTTCTGAAAATATATTCTGTAGTTATCATGAAGCAACATAAACAGAGTCACAGATGTTCCTCACTTTTGTACAGGCTAACGTAGTCACAGAAAACCTGCAAGAAGAAGAGGAGGACACCATGACAAGGACTACATGTCAGAGTCATGTGATAGGTACAACATTATATTTTACACTACATTTTATTGCTGTCTCAGTTCCTGAGAAAAAAAAGTGTGTAATTCTCATTATTTTATTTGTTTGCCCATATAATGTCAGTTGTAACATTCATTCAGCTCCAGTTTTAGTAGTCGGATTTCACAACTACGTAAAAGATGAGCATGTACATACCATTATCAACTGTGGATCAAAGCAGTGCTTAATAGAAGGATTCTAAGAGTCTGGCTGTGAAATACCATTTCAGTCTCCAAAACTAGTGGGTTACATATAGTGGCCTAACTCAAAGGTTGTTGTGCATGATGCTTTCAGTGGGAATAATACTGACGTACTGTAACCCTGCAGTCTATCCTTGAATGAGTAGAGTTCAGAGTAAAGTTCCAAATAACAGAATAATTACTGTGATAAACTGTCCCAGTATGAGTAGCAAACCAGGTGTCTGCTCAGCAGACCTTGAAGTTGTTATTGAAAATGAGCTGTCTTTGCTATGTGCTTTTTAGGAGGGTGGCACCATCAGCCCTTTTTCATGATTGACACACACTAATTTTTAACCACAGGTGAACTTTCAGTGCTTCTTAAAATATCTAATAGGCAGCAGAGGACAAAGCAGATTTTTTTTTTTTTGAGATCTGTATTAGAGCAGTATGTCGTCACTATAAGGATCTGATACTGAATAAAAGAAAAATCTCCCTTAGCAAGTTTCCTTTGCAGGCAGACTGTAACTGTAGTTAACATTTGATTCAGTGTTTTCAGGACAGTCAGTGACTGTGTTAGCCAGAAGCTCTTTCTTTTCACTAATGCTGTCAACCCAGCAAGTTAGGCTGAACCAGAAGTATCATGTTGAAACACATTTTTCTTTGGGGCAACATTTGCATGCCTTATTGACTTGTACAACCTTTTCAATCCCGATATCAACCAAATGAAATCTATTTTCTTTGCAGCAGAGATCTCTAAATTCTTTGAAACCAAGCCATACCTTGGCTCTGTTGCAATAGCTAAATAGCAAGAACTTTGAATAATGCAGTATAAGACTATGATGGGATTCTGCAACTGGATAGCCACAAGTCCTGAAAAGAGAGATGTTTGCTCCTTTCTTTCTGTTACCAGAGGTTGCCCAAAGGAGAATCACCCAAGATTGTTCCAAATTAATTTGCCCTCAATCCTGAACCTAAAGTTCTAAGAACTTCTTTGAGTTGATGTGAAATATTTGGTTTTATTTTTTAAATCCAGTTTTACAGATCAAGAAAACAAAGCTATTTGCAGAGCCTGTCCTGAAAAGACTCCAGTGCTTCCTTGGCATTTGTCTGTGTATAATCAATGAAAATTATATAAAGGAAAGTTATATAATCAAGTAATATTAAGATGTTATAATAATGAAATAAGCAAGAGAGTTAGGCACAGCAAAACAAAGAGAATAAATAGGATGCTTACCCGTACCATGGGCTTGCTCAGGAAATAGGCTTGCTCAGGAAACTCCAGTGGAGTGGATCTTCCAAAGAGAGAGAGAATCTTCCCCACTGGTAGTCAGCTCTTAAATGGGTCTAGGAGAGGTGGAGCCAGGCTCCACCCCTTCCTGCAGCACAGGTGAATTGCTTTCACCTGTGCTCCCAGGGCTGACTCATTGCTCACCTCAGGTGATTAATCAGAGGTTCAGGCCGTGACTCAGCAGTTCCCATACAGTCTGTATAATTGGTTGCTGTTACTGAGACCTATTCACTGTATATTTTTATATATTAGTCAGTGGGTCATCATGTAGTGTTTATATTTTCCCCTCCCTCATGCACCTGGTCTGGGTCTCTGACAGGAGAGTGGTTGAGGATTGGGGTGGCTTCTGTTGTGCCTTGGCTTCATTCGTTAGATGGGAGAGGTCATCACTGTGAATATAACCCCTGTGTGCAGCAAAGCACTTTCTGTCTTAGCCAAAAGATGTTTTCCTTTCCCATTTCTCAGGGCTGGTGACATGGATAGAGGGACAGATAGGTCTGTGGCCCAGGTCTGTACAAGTCCACAGTTTGTGGCACTGCAGTAGCCAGGCAGTGCTGTCCTTGTGAAACACATGTGGCTTCAATGAGGGCCTTTCCATCATCTGGATTACAAAGTCAGCTTCTTTTACCTGGACAGTGCCGTCTCTTAAAGGCTTAATGCAGCATACAACTTACCCCTGTTCTGCCTTTTTAAAACATCTGGATTAACTCAAAGAATTTGGTGTGAGAATCAGGTTGTTAATGTTAAGGAACTCTGCTGATGAAGGTCATTATGTGCAATAGGTAGTATTGGCATAGTACAAATCATAGAAGTCTGAGCAGATTTGTTGGCAAAAGCGCACTGGGTCAAGTCATTACTTCACCAGGACAAGGGCAAGGCAGGGAAATTGAAAGCATGGATCTAACTGCACTTCCCAAGTACTCCTAAATCAGCATCTTACTGTGTTTTATGCCCCTCTCATCAGGCTGTGTTTCATACTGCACTGGAGTTTTGCTGCTGTATATCCACATTGCTCTTTATGGATAGAAAACTTTCCTAGATCTGGTTCAGATTTTTTGACCAAAATCCTTTCTAGACATTCTGGCATTTTTCTGGTACAAAGTTTTACACATACAAAATTTTAGTAAGTGAGATGTGAAAGAGACAAATTCAACTTCCTATGTTACAAACTATGAGGACTGCTCCAAAAGTAATGCCTCCTATTTTATTGTTCTTTTTCATTGAGTAGTTTTACAGTATTTGAAGTTCTTGTGGAACAGGGATCTTTGAAATCTTGATAGTTGCAGTGGGCAGTAAATTAGTTCTTTACTGGTCTGCATTCCTCACCATCATAAATAGTCATTTTAAGAAAACCAAGTTTTGGTTTTGTAGCTGCACTTTGTTCTGCTGGTTTTTGTTGTCAGTGTAAAATTCTTAAATTGATACCGCTTTTGCCCAGATAGGTGTTGAACAAGGTGTGTGTAACTGAGTAGTCTTCAAAGTTGGTATTGTGTCAGACATGGCTTGTTCATCACTTCCTAATAGGTATACTCTGCATGAATTGCCAGTTGCTAGGTTTTTAGTTTATTGTCATTTGGTGGTCTGAACTGATTTACATATTTTGCTGACTCTTTGGTTTCGCTGCATTGAAAGAGTGCAAGAATGTGTAGTAATGTAAAATTTCTCATCAGGAATACCTGTATTTCAGGAAGACATCATCATTTCCACACGAAACAGTCATTTATATTGTTATATTCTGCTTAAGCACATCTATAGAACATATATAAACTTTTTAAAACATAACTCTGTCACACCATGGATGTTTTTGTCAGTGAGAATGCCAAATGTGGCACTGGCAGCTCTTCTCACAAACAAGAGATCTGAAAATCCAGCAGTATTGTATCCTTAGAGCTCTTTCTTCATGCCTTTTGCAATAAAGTAGCTAGGTTTTAAAAGAGTGTGAAGGGGGAAATGTTAACGTACCTAATAAGAGAAAGGATGTGATAAAAAGGTTGACTTTCCCTTTATGTCATGAGAGACTCCTTAGCTCAGACAGGTGCAGCAGGGTCTCAAGACATTCATATAAATAAAATTCCTTTATTGAATACAATGCTTGAATGTGTCAAGCTCCTGACAGTATTGCTCTAATGTAAACATTAAAAAGCCTTTGTTTTACAAAGGAAAAGAATTCTGTTTCTCCCCGTGGAATAGAATATTCAGTGTTTACATCCAGTCTTGAATTTTCCTGTTCTCACACTAGCCACAAATATTACAAGAGAGTTACAAATGACACCTTTACACAGACAGGTTAACAATGGACATCTTGGGAAGAAAAAGGCATTAGTCAGAGTTTAATATTTCACTCCTGAAAAAGTGTGATTCTATTCATTATAATGTATTAAGAGATTTCTTTGAAAAACAACTCTGAGGGAAAAAAAAAAAAACAGAAAATCACAGCACAAGAAAACAAGTTATAATTATTGAAGAATTCATTCTGTTGGACAAATTAAAATGGAAATTCTATGGCATACAGTCATAGTTACACCAAAAATGTTATGTCTAAAATAAAGGCAACATGGAATCGTAGAATGGCTTAGGTTGGAAGGGACTTCAAAGCCCACCAGTCCCAACCCCTGCCATGGGCTGGTTGCTACCTACCATCTCAGGCTGCCCAGGGCCCCATCCCACCTGGCCTTGAACACCTCCAGGGCTGGGGCACCCACAGCTTCTCTGGGTAACTTGCTCCTGTGCCTTACCGTAGTCACAGTGAAGAGTTTCTTCCTTTTGTGTAAACCTACCCTATATATTTATGTGTGTGTAAATATCTTTATTAACCATATACGAGATGTCAGTTTATTTTCAGCAGTCTCTAAATGAATCAAACAAGTAATTTAGGTCTAAAGCATTAGAGCTCAGGGATGTGTAAGCATGGCCAGTTCATCTAGAGGAATTGTTCTACTGAACTGGAAACTTTTGGCTTCAAAATGTTATCTTTTATATGCCACAGATTGAACTAAAGAGCCAGTTTCATTTCTTAATGAAAGCCTGATGAGCTTTGACATCAGGGAGAGCACTGGAGGTAGGTTTTGTCCTCTTGGTACTTGGAATGACATTACTAGTAAAGATAAGTTGAAATGATGATAATTCTCAATAGATCTAGAGTTCGTACTAGCATTGTGCATACTCTACTTGAGAATGCAAGAATTAGAAGTAGTAATCCAAAATGTATCTGGCTGTTGTTGGTTCCGTCTGGTCTACTGTAAGTACAACTACACTAAATACAGAATTGTATGGGGAGTTAATTCCCTGACAGGAGTTAGAATCCACAGTAGAAATATTTGCAGTCCTTGGAAAGAAATTATCTGTCTGTGGCATTGACCCATACTGTTTGTTTCAAGTATTTCATGTGAAATTCAGAGACAGGTAAAGATTATGAAGATAAGTGTAGGCAGATTTTGAAGAAAGACTTGAGTCTAATTTCTGTTAAATTTTCATTGGAGGTCCAGGTCACTTGCTTAAAATTGATTCATCCAGC